GTTTTATGTCTGTTTGGGATTTTTCATTAGAGGAAATACTGGATCCCTAACCAATGGAGACTGAGTATTATCACTCCAGTCTTCAAAGGGAAGGGATCGGTGCAGGAGTGTGGCGATTATCGATATTATATATGTGGCATAAAGGTCATGTCCCACACCATGAAGCTCTTCGAGCGTATAATAGACTCTCGGATCCGACAGGAGAGTGCTGTCTCGGAGGGTCAATATGGGTTTCGGCCTGGTCTTGGGACCATGGATCCTGTTTTTGCCCTAAGGGTCATCATGGAGAAATACAGATTGAAGAATACGCCTCTGCATTTCATGTTTCTTGACATGCAGAAGGCCTTCGACTGTTTCCCCCGTGTAATGATCTGGTGGGCACTGAGATCCAAAGGGGTACCAGAAGCTTATATTGACATCATCCGAGACATGTACCGCGATTCCGAATCCATGGTTAGGACTGCTGTTGGTGACACTAAACCCTTCCCTGTCACAGTCGGAGTTCACCAGGGCTCAGTTCTCAGTTCCTATCTGTTCAGCGTGATATTAGACGAGGTCTCAAGCTCCATCCGAGACACGCATGAGCAACCCCCGTGGATGCTTATGTACGCTGACGATATCGCGCTGGCGGATGCGGATAGAGGGAGACTGGTACGACGAGTGAATGTGTGGAAGGAGTCGCTTGAGAACGGCGGTTTGAGACTAAATGTGGCGAAGACTGAGTACATGGTCTGCAACGCTACAGATCCCCTACCCGTACGCATAGGCGAAGACGCGGTCGAGCCTACGGGCCAGTTTAAATACTTGGGATCTGTACTTAGCGCGTCCGGAGACATCGACTGCGACGTCAGAGCCCGAATCGCAGCCGCTTGGGCAAAGTGGCGTGAGGTGACTGGTGTAATTTGTGACCCCAAGATGCCGGTTAAGCTGAAAGGACAGGTCTATAAATCCATCATCAGGCCTGTCCTTTTATATGGCAGTGAAACGTGGCCCGTACTTGAGCGTCATAAGCAGGAGCTGCGTGTCACGGAAATGAAGATGCTGCGCTGGATGTGTGGAGTTTCACGGAAAGACCGTGTCAGAAACTCCCGCATCCGCGGCAGCCTTCATGTCCGTGACATTGCAGATAAACTGCAAGAAAGCCGCCTACGTTGGTACGGCCACATCTTACGGAAACCGGCTTGCTACGTGGGAAACAAATGTCTGGCTATGCCACCTCCGCCGGGCCCCGGTAGAAGGGGCAGACCCAAGAAGTGCTGGCTTGACGTCGCCAAGGGTGATATGCGTGCCAATGGTCTCACCACTAAGGATGCCGAAGACCGTGCAAAGTGGAGGAGAAAGAGTAGGAAAGCGGACCCCGGGCTCCGCAGCAACCCTGCTGAGGACGCAACCGGGACAACGCTAAGATGAGAGAGACTGGATCCCAAACTGGTGGTACGGAGAAACCATCTTCCCTGTTGAAATTAGGATGTTTTTTAATTTCAATGGCCTCTCGCAGCATCCTGGGTAGATAACGGACTTCTTTTGCAAGGACCTGGGGTTTGTCAAACTTCATTGAATGTGTAGGTTTATCCATGACATGCTCGCATACTGCAGACTTGTTTACGCGACGGTGTTTGACATCAGCTACGTGTTCTTTGACGCGGGTATAAATACTTCGCTTTGTTTGTCCAATGTAAGAGAGACCGCACTCACAGTCAAGCTTGTAAACTCCTGCATCCTGTAAGGGGATGTTACATTTCACGGGTCTCAGAAACTGAGAAATCTTCTTCAGGGGCTTGAAATAGGTCTTGATAGATGCGCGCCTGAGGTCTATTGCGATCTTGTCTGTAACACCTCTCACGTAAGGTAAGATGGCAGGTCTTCGCTCGACTGTTGGTGGTTTCACACGGGGTCTGTGGCATTGGCGTGGAATCTTCAACTTATTCGCATGTAGGACTTGCTTTATATGTTGAAGTTCCCCTGCCAGATGATTACTGTCGCAGACACCATGTGCTCTCTGAAACAAAGATTTGCCCACGGTAGCTAGCTGGCTAGGATGGTGATGGGAATTACCATTGAGATACCTATCTGTATGGGTTTTCTTTCGAAAAACAGTATGGCCTAAGGTGTTATTAGGATTTCTTTTAATTAAAACATCTAAGAAAGCTAAAGTACCACAATTATCTTGTTCCATAGTAAATTGGATCTTTTAATGTAAAATTTTATGGCGTTCCTTTACATTAAGATACGGTGTTACTTATAAGGAATAGGAATATATACCCTTTCTATCGGCATCATAAAAATACAGATTTCTTTTCACATTTGGTCGGTTCTATTCCCTGAAGAGGCAAGCATATTTTTAAAGTTTTTATATACACACAGTATTACTTACTTTTATATATAAAATAACGTCTCCACGTAGAAAAATATTCTATGTACAATATTAAAAATAGTTTCTTTTCGTATTCCATAGCCATGTGACGCCTTGTATATGTAGGTATATACATTGTATTAGCTAATAATATACAATATGATTATTTATTATTTACTAGTTGTATACCTACTAATAATGTAATTGAATTGTTTATTTTCCTAGATATATATAGTAGGAGGTAGATACATAAAAAAGTAAGAAAGTTTATAAATAGAAAAGTACTCTGGGGCATCGAGCCCAGAAGACTGGCAACATGTCCCCTTTGAATTGCTAAATAACTGCCAGCAGCCTTGTGCTCACCGGAGGCTCCTACGAGGCGATCCAACAGCTCATTCGCTAGAAGTTTGCCTGTGGCACCCAGGGACCCAGGGTTTCATTCGCAAAAGGCACAATGCTGTAGCACTGAGCAAGGTTGGCGTATTAGTGTCTTTTGCGGTTCTCGGCCGCTCTGGCCACAGAGCCTGCGACGCCCACGCTTGCAAGGACATGGGACGGGGCTACAGAATCCACACAGGTTGCGTCCCACACCAGCTGTCTCAGCGTGAAAAATGATATCTGACAAATGTCCACCACTACCACAGTTAGTGATGTTGATTCTTTCATCAAAGTTTTTAATTACTTTTTGACAAAATGGTGGGTCTATTTCGTTAATCGCTTCGCGAATTTTGAGTTTTAAGGCTGCAATCGATTCGATTGGCTCCGTATAGACTCTGTCTTTAACATAACCCCATAAAAAATAATCCAGCGGTGTTAAATCACATGATCGCTGGCCACTTAACGGCTGAATTTCGTGAAATTATGCGATCGGGAAATTTGGTTTGCTATAAATTCATTGTTTCGGTGGCTGTGTGACTTGTGCCGTTGGCATCGGGCCGTTGTTTTTTTCGAAAATTCGCCTGGAAATGCGGTCACGGTCACGATTACGCTATCGAGAGATGTTAACAACTCAATTTTGGCCTATTATTGATGATATGAATACCACTAACATGTGGTTTCAACAAGACGGTGCCACAAGTCACACAGCCACTGAACGTTTCAAAGAACGTTTCACTCGACATTTCAATAGAATAACATAGAATCGAATAATTTATTTCATATTATTTATGAAATAATTGATATAAAGCAAATAGTATAAGTAAAAAATACATACAAGTACGACAATAAAAATTCAATTCACTGTAGAGGTAGAATTCACTATCCAATAAAAGGACTTACAGTCGGGTAAGAAATATTTCGTCGTTTGTAACACTTTCTAGCATTTTAGGTAGGTATTCGTAGACTCTGGACCTATTACTCGCGGGTCTCTCGTTGCTAGCTCGACGGGTAACGGATTTAAGTTTCCCTGTGTTTCGCAACGATCGACCTCATAAAGTTCAATCGAGCTTAGTAGTAACGAAACTCAATTCAACATCCATATAGTTAAATCATAAAATTTTGACACGATAAAGTACCTAATTGTTATTTCATGCAAAATAAAGTCAAAGCAGAATGTAATTAGGCTAATTTACGAAACGGCTATAGAACCCTATTATAGGCATGCCCTGCCATGTATATATAGTCGGTATATCGAGCCATTACCGCCGACTTAGCGTAAGCGACAAAATGCACTCATCAGTCGCGCGCGCAATCGTGCGTTCCAAAGTTACCTTTTACACGGAGGCTTTTCCGTTGTAATAAAAACACGAGCAATCGCGCGCGAAAGAGCGTTAGGTTAAAAAACTTCAAGCAGGTAATCAATCATGCACGTTTGCGCGTGCAGGCCCGCGCGCAAATCTGAATGTTTTTGGCGCTTACAATATTTTTGCTATCTCGTTCTAAAGATTTTTGAGGTTTTCAGGCGTTTAAGGTAACACTTGCGATGACGGGAATTGTCGACGCGTCTGTCCATTATAGTTTAAAATATCATTTCCACTGAAAAACGCTATTTATTTAAAAATGTTGCTTACGTACTAAATAAGTTGGCGGTCGTGACTCGATATGATGTTATCGGTAAATTATTCTTTGATTGTTTTATTAATTACAAACGTCACTGATATGGATTCATGGATGGCGGAAAAAAACATTGTATAAGACAATCTGGAAATTCCACAACATCTGTTTTTTCCTAGTGATGATAACAAATAATAAACAATGATAACAATTTACAGAAAACAAACAAAAAAATGACTGAATGTATGCTAGATGTACAACAAAAAATCTATTTAAAATGCAATGTTAAATTACAGCTGCATAAGAAGTTTTTGCGAACATTAGGCAAATTTAACAGCTCTAAATGGAATTTAAATGCCAAATATAGTTTTTGAAAGCCGTATTTCACAAATGCCGTGTGAACATTTATTCGACGTGATTATACAACATAAAAGCAATAATGCTTGTAGATGTACTTTTTCATACGATTTATTTGATTAAATAAAGAAGAACAGTTATTACTCTACTTTGTTTCTGGTTGTGAAATCTTATACGCGCTCCTCTAGATAGCTTTTTATGGTTCAAGAAAACAGCATACATATATATTAGACATTACGAACTGATTACTTACCAGTTCGTCTTTGGTTTTATTACAAGAAACACTATATTTGAAGTATGGCGTCCAGTAAACTTTGTGCACTACTTATTTTATTCGTGGTGCTTGGATTTGTTTGTGGTGCTGCAGTTGAACCAGCTCCATTAGGTGAGAATTACAAAATAATTTATTTACTAATTTATGGAAAACCAATAGTTTCATAACAATTACATAAAGTACACAAACAAATACCAATAGAGTTTTGAATTATTCAATAAAATGAGAAAAGATCTGTGAATTTACTGCATTTTTAGTAGCAATAAATTCCTTGTTGAGTTCGTCCAGGAAAGTACGGTCACCTTAACCATTTCTGCTAATAATGTAAGCATTGCTGCGTTTCGAGAACCTTTCTGCCCCAACAGCCGTCAGTTCTATGAGCTATGTGCCCTGCCCATTGCCACTTCAACTTATTAATCCTTTGGGCTATGTCGGTGACTTTCGTTCTTCTACGGATCTCCTCATTTCTGATTCGATCACGTAGAGATGCCGAGCATTGCTCACTCCATAGCTCGTGAATGACATTGAGCTTTTTTTAAGAGGCCTATAGTAATGATAATAAATAAATAAATACAATAAATTCTAATATCTTTCGTTACTGGCAAAGGAGAACTTCACGATAAAACTCGCATGTCGAAAAATGTTTACAAGTCTTGGAAACGTGTGAAACTCTGATAAAATTTGCATTGGTCAATCGTGGTGGACTATAGCTCAAACCCTCTTGAAGAAGACCTATACATAATATGTTGACGATGGAGACTATGATATTTGGTAAACAGTTCACATAACTGTTCATAGATATGTGATGACATCTACGCGCAAATTTCAGTATTTGTAATGTTTACAAAGATTCGTTGTTTACAGAATGTCCTCCCGGAGAAAAGTATTATAAATGTGCTCTACAAGTTTGCTATAAGACATGTAAGCATCTAAAACAACCACCGCCTTGTCCCTCTTTGCATCCAAGCTGCTTCGAGCCAGAGTGTGTCTGTGAAGGAGATACATTAAGAAATGACGAGGGTGTCTGCGTCACTATTGATCAATGTTGTAAGTATAGTGTAGTATAATAGTGTAAGTATAGTAGTGTCGTGAGGTTTCTTCAACTGGATGTTGGCGCCGTTCGACATGATCTTATATTATATTTACAAAATTACCGTACCTACAAAGTCATTTTTAAACCTGACATTGGCAAAAACATCGTGGAATTCGATGGAGCCATTATAAAGATGAAATTGGAATAGGAATAATCTTCCACATTAATATGGCGAGCGGCTAGAGAGTGGAATTCCCTGCCTGTGGACTTATTTCCTGAACGCTATAACTTGGACCTTTTCAAGGCGAGAGTGAATAGGCATTATTTAGGTGTGCATGCTACATCGTCGACCTCATCGTCAGTTTCCATCCGGTGAGATTGAGGTCAATTTTTTTACAAAAAAAGAATTGATCGTTGTTCCCAACGAGACGAGTTAATTGTAGAATTCTTAAAATACCGTTACAGAGAAACAAATTACAGAGCGTCATATTTAATGATAATACTGCTGAATTGGCTTATTAATTATTTTGTAAAAAAAAACCCGATTGCTAATTTGGAGCGTCGCTTTTTTGCGCAATCGTTCATTATCTTTAATGCTTCGCTAAGTACCTATTTCTGCCTCGATAATAGTATAATTATATAGTATAATTAGTAGCACAATAAATTTAAAGATAATTTCTGCAGATCGTGCTATACAAAACCTAATTAGAACAAAAAAGTATTTTTCCATTGCACGCCATCCCTTTGGGTCTTGTACCTTCCTCATTAAATTTTTCCCCGCCACTTGGATAAGTTCGTCAGTACAGCGCATTGGTTGCCTTCCTACGCTTCTGTACCCTTCTCTGGGCCTCTACTCAAGCGCCCTTCTACCCCATCTGTGTGGTCTTATCTACGGCATATATAGCCAGCCCATTTCCACTTTTTTCTGGCTATGTTGATAAGATTCGTTCTTCTCTGGACCTTTGTGTCCCTAAATCGATTACGAAGATAAATACCCAATACAGCCCGTCCCATAGCTCTCTGAGTGACTTGTATATTTTGCAATGTCTGTCTTGTCAGTGTCCATCACTCAACTCCGTAGACCATGACTATGAGGACACATTGCTCAAATGTCCTATGTTTGAGGTAAAACTTCTTAACTTGATTCGATTGACTCGTGTTGACGTGCTATATAAAATCCGCAACGGAACATGGTTGTATCATGGGTGTAACCTGGTTGTATAGAAAAGAGTAAGGGACTGTTATTCAGTAGGCATTATTTGACTATAACAAGTGTACTCGGCAATGGACCACTCTTGCCTCGTCAGATAAAACAGTAAGGGTGTGTTTACAATATGTCGTGACGACAGATACGACTGATCCGACAGATAGTGCAGTTTAAAGTGTTGTGGCCTGTGACTTTTATTTTTAAATTAAGTTGTTCATATGTAGGTCATACCTACACACGACACGTTTCGACATTTATGTCGTTCACGACTTTTTTGACGTTACGTCGACAGACTATCGAGACAATGGGAAGACCTGAAACGACTGTCGTCTGACGATAAATAAAACATCACGATAAAAATGTGACGACAGATAATCGCAGTTACTATTGTCGTCACCTTTTATTTGTCATTGTCTCATATTTGTAAACGACAAGGTAGCTGCCGAGAAACGATAAAAAACGCAGATAGTCGTTGTGCATGAACAGGCTAGACGCAACAGTCGGCCAACGGTAAATAAAACGTTACATCTTAATGAGAACGCGCCCTAACGTAAGACGTCGCGTAGCTGTTGATATTGACGGATAAAATAATCAGGCGTTTCGTTTATTTAACAAAATAAAAATTTTGTTGGTGTACATCAGAGCAACGAATGTGATGTTGTCTAATATTAATTCATTTATATATTAGTATTTATCAATTATCAATAACCTCGATTAACAAATTTCTTTAAAAAAAATTAAAAGTCTAGGAAATGTTGCACAGTAGTTCCGTGGGCACTTCTTTACTACTGTTGCTACGTACTGTTACGTAAATTCTAGGTTTTGTCTTTTAACATTTATTGCTTTACAAAAGTAATATCGAAATATTTTTAATATATTTTTTGGCAAAGGAGTTTGTCATTAGAGTACTAAAAATATTTAAGGACCATCAGGTTATAGTTAAGTTCAAATTATTTCAATTTAATAACTTTTACCATTGTTCACAGAGCAGTCCAGAATACCTTCCAATTCAAAGAAATGTAAGGAAATAAGTGTATACAATTTTCCATGGAAAGCACTCTTTCTCATTGTATGATAGTCATAAATATGTAGGAAAAGCATTTAGTATTTGTTTTCTTTCTACCAAATATTATGTCACGTATTTTTTTTTTATAAAACAGTGCACTGTGATATGAAATTAATTTATGAAGCACAGAAACGTTTAATCGTTTTGAAAGCGTCATAAAACTTCCATGTTACGATACTGCAGTGGCAACATAACCAACAAAACTATAGACAACTACTATAACCAATTCTGACAGATGATTTGTTAAGTCCGAAAAGATCATTTCGAATAATTACGAGGTTAAATGTCTCATTTTTCATGAATCGTATTACCTAAGGATTATCAAATCGCACTGTTAATACAATAGTGTGTTAACTCAAAAAGAGTATTTTTTCAGAAACGATGAAAAACGCATACTCACTTTCCGTGAAAGATCATTATAATTTATGTATAAGATAGAGTTCATTACTGACATCTAAACCATTTCCTACTGGCCCAACGTTTTTAAAAATAAAAGGGAAGAAACAATTTCATATTTTTGAGAAAGGACTGTATGTTTTGGCCAGAATTTGCTCACATAAAGTTTGTCTCATTTTGAGTTAAATCTTTTAATTGTTTCTTACAATATTCTATCGACGGTTTTATTGGCGTGTGAAGAATCAAATTTTGGTTTCAGCAATGATTTAATCCTGAAATTCACATTATTTTGAGTTACAATTGTAATATACTAGATGGTGCTCCATCTAAACAAGTGAAACAGTTTAAATACTCGGGTCACTAGAATAAGAATAACGTGCACACACTCATAGCCACTTCCACATTTATATGGCGAACGGCTATTCTCTGCCTGCAGACTTGTTCCCTGAACGTTATAATTTGGACCTTTTCAATGCGTGAATGAATAGGCATTAGTTGGGTGCTCCAACGTCGACCTCATCGTCACTTTCTATCAGGTGAGATGGAGGTCAAATGCTCACTTACATTTGAATAAAAAGAAAGCCCCACACTAGGGGAACCCTGTATCGCGGGTGCCATGGACGCACACATAGACAATCACAAATTACACCCAAACTCACGAGAGAAATAAAAGTAGGCCATACAAATATTCCTCCAGGCCGGGGAATTGAACCCGGGACCTCTGCGAGGCAGTTTGAACTGATTGCCCACGACCCGTGGTTTCCGTTTGGCGATCGTTCCTTGTTTGACAGCGTTGATTTGAATGATTGGTACAAATCGGTAAAGCGAACTACGTATGCCTAATTCAATAAAATTTTACGTAAAACTTATTATGACATGCGGAATGATAACACGTACCACCGTTTTTTCTTCTGGTTCTTTTTGTTAAGTAAGTTGTACCATTGTACAAAACAGAAGTGGCTGCAGAAGTAACTATGCATTCTTCATGACATTTTCGAACACATTTTGATAGTTCAAAGTAGACTAGGCCTCTCGACATACACACCGTCGCTTGTGGCGCGCTCGGCGCGTCGTCGCGACGCGATTCTTGAACTCACGGGCCGTGGGAAGTAGGGCATGCAAAACCCGATTGATTTTGAAAACCGATTTTTTCGGTTATTAAGACACGGTTAACCGATTACCCGGTTTTTTCGGTTATTTTTCTATTGTCACCCAAATAACTCTTTTAAAGTGTCAGAAAACTAAAAAACATCAAGTTGAGTGTTTTTTTAATTATTTTTATAGATTTCACTGCTAATGAGATCAATAACGTCTCGAATTATAATAAAAAATCAAATCAACAATAATACAAATACCCCAAAATAAATATATATATTTTAGAGACAAGCAATTAAACATCTTCTTTTTTAGTCTGATTCTCTGTTCAAGATGTTCCAACATCTGTGTGAGAAGTCTGGTGACGCTCATCATTGGTACCCAGTGACGCAGCTAGTTATTCTGTGGAATGAAAGAATAGTTGTGCCCATACCAAAGTACCTAATTATGCTGGGAGAGAGGCGTCGACGACGCTTATCAATAGCGCCACCAGGATCCCCAATATTTAAGTCTCATACTGCTAATTGCTCTGCCTAGTCTCTTTTGGAACCTCTCCCCAACCCGATTAGAGGGCGGTATGAGACGAACGTGGCGAAACAGGTGAGCAGATTGGGACATTTATTATTATATTGCTTTACTTCAGGGATACTCTAGTCGAAATCTTGCGTTTAGGTGTGGAGTATTACTGTATTCGCACTTTCCATCAGGAGCGGTGCAGTCATTTTGTCGAGTCGCAATAAAAAAAAAAAAAAAAAAAAAAAAAAAATACCATACTCAGACGTACCCAACAGACACCAAGTTCATCCATGTTTTAACGCTGACTGTAGTTGTACTGAAGCACAAAAACAGCGTATGCTCGACTGCGCAAAGCTCCGAATACTCTGAAGCTGAAAAATTTAATAAGACAGCCACTACGTAGAAATGAGTGTTATGCAGAGCCAAGTTCAACCATGTGCGACAGGGGCCAAGTTTGTCTCTTTTGCTGCAGGTGGCAAGTCCTAATGATCCCTGGCCAAAGCTGTCACAAACTTTAGTCGTTATTCTTTACCACCTCTGCTGAGACCAAACGGTTCGGTGGCCCATATTGCGGAAGGGAAGGCGAATCTTTTTGCCTCACTATTTGCAGAGAATACGTGTCTGCGTCATGCTAAAAAGAGCTACGTGAATTAAAGCTAGCGGGCCAAATAAAATTCCAGCAACAGTCCTACTTAACTAAGTGCCTGAGTTGTCTCCTGTTCTCAGGTCGTGGAAGCTGGCAAACGTGCAACGTGTCTCAGGCACTTCCATATTCTGCAACACTATAAAACGTGTTTTTAAGTTTTTAGGAGACGGTTATCTCGTTGACACCGACTTCCTCAGTGATCGCCAGTACGGATTTTGAGTGAGCGTTCGATTCGATCTTACTACACTACATTGGGTGATAGAGTTCCGGAGTGCGTCAGGGTTCTACTCTATGAGTTGAATTACTGGCTGAGTGAATATAATTTTATATTTAGAATGTGTTTGAAACAGGAGTTTAGAAAGAATAGAACGTCTTGATGGTTCGAGATGCAACCTCAGTTAGAAAATATGTAAAAAAGTACAATAAACCAAGTTTTGAAGATTATCCCAGTTTATATTCATAAAAGTACCTCTCGCTACGCAACACGAGCTACGTTCAAGTCTACAGTACTGTCCGCAACTCTTTTTCTGCCGCATATCAACGATATGTTAATTCCAGGTACCTTCAGGTATACTCATGACTGTACAGTTGTAGATAGGTACTTGATCAATGCAAGGGTTAGTGGAAAAGAAATCCAGTCTTGTTGAGAGTCTATGACTAGTCGTTTGTATTTGGCACTTCGGCTGTCTTAATCTTAAACTTATAAATGGAACGCTGTGAAATGCAGTCGTGTCTATTCTCCACGAAACAGAGTCCCTTTAACCTGACTCCGACTATTTGTGATATATCTATACCGATAGCCAACCATCGCCAGCTACTTGGAATGAACCTGTTGTCCAGTCTGAACTTTGGCAGATGCATAGAAACCATGGCCAAAAACACAGCCAGGAAGCTTGCCATCCTTTCCAAGGGTAGATGTTTCTTCAAACCAGTCAGTTGCTTCAAAAAAGCTGTACCATACACACATCCGGTCGTGTATGGAGTACTGTTGCCACCTATGGGATAGTTCTGCTTAATATCAACTAGCCGCCTTGAATTCAGTTGAAAAGCCTACTAAGAGCATAGGTGACTCGGATTTGTCGCTATATTGCTCGCGAACCTCGCTCACCACTCGCTATCCCAAAAATTACCCGAGTCCGTCTCGAGGATGCTGTCGCAGTCCTGTAGTTAGATGCCCGAGTTCCTAGCTTTTAATTAACGTTTATTTATCATTATTAACTAGGACACGATGATATTATGAGTCACAAACTTACGTTTTAATAGTTGAAAGACAAAACCAAAAATTCTTAAAAAAACGGGTTTTTCCTTAGCTGAAAACCGGGTTCCAAAATGAACGGTTAACTGGTTTTTTCGAATAACCGGGTAACCGGTTTGCATGCCCTAGTGGGAAGCCAGAATAAATCTAATGCACTCACGGATGACTTACAGCGGGATAACAATATGTCGCCTCTCTGGTTTGCACGGTGTACGTTTTACACTTGCGGCCTATGGGTTCATTATACGCAGAAGTCTTTCAATGCGCTGAAGGTCCAATACAATAACCGTTTAGAATGCTATTGCGGCTGCCCCCATTCTCTAGTGTGTCCGGCATTTTTCCAGAGGCGCGTACCAACGGCTTTTGGTTTGGAATTCACATAACCAAAAAGGGCTGGTGACGTATTATACTCAATTGCCTACTTTTAATAATTACTTATAATTTTATTTTATTTTTGCGTAATTTACTAACATAGTTTGCAAGTCTTAGGGACGTATTCTAAAACTCTACCTAATACACAAACACTACTTAGTACTTAATACGTCAGGATTTGAGTATGATTTAAAACACTCGTAATCATACTCAAGTCCCTGCCATTAGAGTCGTATTTCCAGTGCTTGTGTTTCAAATGCAATCCTGACTTGAGCATTGAGTAGAGTTCTAGAATACGACCCATAGAGTTGTTACACACGGCGACTTTAGCAGCGATGCAAATGCGCGTTCGTTCGTGCATCGCTACACTTGCGATTTATATAGGCGATTGCATCGATGCAAACGCGTATCGCTGCTTAAAATCGCGTGTGTAAAGTTAGACGATTAGCGACTTCATCTGTACTGCATCGTGTTTGCATTACGTTTGCATCGCTGCTAAAAGTCCTATGTGTAACCGCTCTTAATTGTCACAAATAAAATGGATCGGATAGATGATCTGAATAAATTATTATTGTTATTAAAGAGCATCTTTGTAGTGAACTTTCAATTTCACTTAAGAGAATTTCATTATTATGAAACTAATTCGGTATTGACATAGCGTTGTAGTATTGGAAATTGTTCCTTTTGATTAATAAGAAATGAACTATGCAAATCATGATTTGAGTATTATTTAATTGTTTTAAATTGTAAATCTCAATCAATCAATCTTCGAA